GCAATGGCAGCATTGACATCTTTGGGAACCACATCCCCACGGTACAGCAGGCAGCAAGCCATGTATTTACCATGGCGAGGGTCACATTTCACCATCTGATTGGCTGGCTCAAAGCAGGCATTGGTGATCTCTGCTACAGAAAGCTGCTCATGGTAGGCTTTCTCAGCAGAGATGACAGGGGCATATGTGGCCAGAGGGAAATGGATGCGAGGGTAGGGTACCAGGTTGGTCTGGAATTCTGTCAGGTCAACATTCAGGGCTCCATCAAATCTGAGGGAAGCAGTGATGGAAGACACAATCTGGCTAATGAGGCGGTTAAGGTTAGTGTAGGTGGGGCGCTCAATGTCGAGGTTTCTACGACAGATGTCATAGATGGCCTCGTTGTCTACCATGAAGGCACAATCAGAGTGCTCCAGGGTGGTGTGGGTGGTGAGAATGGAGTTGTAGGGCTCAACCACAGCAGTGGAAACCTGGGGGGCTGGGTAGATGGAGAACTCCAGCTTGGACTTCTTTCCATAATCGACAGAGAGCCGCTCCATCAGCAGGGAGGTGAACCCAGAGCCAGTTCCCCCACCAAAGCTGTGGAAAACCAAGAAGCCCTGAAGACCTGTGCACTGGTCAGCCTGTAGGAAAAAAAGAACAGGCATTGTTTATCAACAGGGCATACTCTCAGCACTGCTTGCAATTCCTCAAGATGGCAAACCACATTTACTTGAAAGGAAAAAATTGTGAATTGGTATTAAAAATGATCTCATGACCCATAGACCACATGTACAAGTCTACTTAATTAATGTAGTGAACAGACTTTACTTATTTTGGCAGGTCCCAACACTCCCCCACACTGCATTTTAAATGAACCCATCCATCTATGGTATTTACCAGCTTGCGAATTCTGTCCAAGACAAGATCAATGATCTCCTTGCCGATGGTGTAGTGGCCACGGGCATAGTTATTGGCAGCATCTTCCTTGCCTGTGATGAGCTGCTCAGGGTGGAAGAGCTGGCGGTAGGTACCAGTGCGAACTTCATCTGGAAAAGGAGATGAAATCAATCATTCACAACAGTAACTGACACACACAAGCTCACTCACTCTTTGGCGGTGTGTGGAGAGGTTCTGAATATGTGACCAGGACAGAATGCCTCAGGGAAGCCCCTGGCCCACTTACCGATGACTGTGGGTTCCAGGTCTACGAACACGGCCCGGGGCACATGCTTGCCAGCGCCTGTCTCACTGAAGAAGGTGTTGAAGGAGTCATCTCCTCCCCCGATGGTCTTGTCACTTGGCATCTGGCCGTCAGGCTGGATGCCATGTTCCAGGCAGTAGAGCTCCCAGCAGGCATTGCCGATCTGGACACCAGCCTGGCCAACGTGGATGGAGATGCACTCACGCTGTGGAAAAGGGGGAAAAATTATGAAATTAAGCTGTATTTCTATTTTAGATTTTAATAGATTTCTAAAGTGTTTCTAATAACACAAATATTGTTGAAATTTATTTGGAGTCATATCCCTCATATGACAGAAACAATAATGAGTACCTGATACAAATACTGCAAAGGGGTGTGGTCTGAATAATGTCACCTTAATACTAAGACTTGGTGCAAACCCATTGTTCTCACAGCCATACTTAAATAGAAGAGTTTTCATGTTCGAAAAATACTTAATACACTGATACTGTAAAGTGAAATAATTGTCTGGAATTATTTTAATTGCTTCTTTTCCTGATAAGTAAAGATGAATGCTTCATCTTTTGTGATCTGGTATTTCAACATGGACATCAGTACTGCGGCTGCGGGCAGGAGCCACACCCTTCTGCAGAACTCATCAGCACTAGACAAAGTGTGACTTCTGCATTGCTGTGTCTGCTGTGCCTGGTGCTAGCCTGTGCCCTTTGTTACATTATTTAACAGAGAAAGCTCTATTTCCAGCAGCTGTCTATACGATCCCCTCGCTGCTTTCAGTTTCCTAACCCTCTTAACCCTGTCTGGGCCATTTGCCTGAAATAATGAATTAGTGAAGATGTATTAGAACAAAAGACAGTTGGATACGGAGTATAATTTTTTTCCTTGCAGCAGTTTCATTAGATAATGAAGATTTTCCAGAATCTTTTCCACTATATAGAAGCAAAATATTCTTAAAGCTAAGTTAGAAACAAGGGCCAACAATAAAAACCGAGTAAAAAGATAACATTTAAAACTAGAAAATGGTATTTTATTCGATGAATCTTTACATACCACATAATATATTAGTATTATTTATTCTATAGAGATAGTTTTCTATTGTCTTTAAAGCTACAACTTTCATTGTCTGCGGGGGTGGGGGGTGGGGAAGGGCGTTTCCCTGGGTTCTGACAATCAGGGTAGTCGAGGCAACCTCACCAACTATCCAGCCCCTCTCTCCCCAGCGAGATGTCCTGGTGTTAAGTAAATCGTACTTTTGACACTCAAGCAAACAAAACCTCTTGTAAGATTACAGTTCCACAGCAATTTTTTAAAAATAAAAATACAAAAACCACTCCCGAGGGAAGTTTAGAGAGGGCGAACCCCTCCCAAAACGCCACGGAAGCAAGAGACAAACAACCCCGCCCCTGCGCCTCCCTGACACCGGCTGCCATGGATCCGACGCAAACTAACCATTTTCCCATAGAAGTGGGGCGGCGTTTCTGGAGTGAGGGCTCGGCCGCCGCCCTGCTCGCCCGCCGCAGCGCACCCCTCTAGCCGTGAACCCCCGCCATGACGGCCCAGGCTGTGCGAGCAAACACTCGCAGGAGCCTTTGTTCTTCCCCGGGTCTGGGCGTTTCCCTGCCCCGCACTGCGGCTGCGGGATTTACGGACTCCGCGCAAAGCTCAACTTAACAAAGCATTGAGACCACCCTTCCCCGCAGGGGTGACAAAGACTTAGGCTTTCCCTTGAAGATCTCGGGAGACTGATTCCACCCAGTTACGGAGGACCAGGGAAGAAGGCTGGCTCACCATGGTTGCTGCTTTGCGGCTGCCCGGAGGTTGGCGGAGGCGAGGAGGAGGTGTTGCTTCTTACAGCGCGACTCTTAGGCGGTCGATGTAAGAGAACCTGCGGCACATGGGCGGATGCGGCTCCTTATATACAGCTCGGTCACCATGGGGATGGGCCACGGCCTTTTCCTGTTGGTCCAGACCCCTCCGTCTGCCCAGAGAAGCCGCGACAGGAGAGTGGTGATTGGTGCAAGCGACATGGTATGAGGTAATCTCTCCCCCACCCCTTCCCCCTAGCATCCGTAGACTTTGCATCCTCAGACAAAGGCTGAGCAAATGCAACTAGCGGAGCATCCATTATGGGGTGGGGCTGGGGAGGGGAGGGGAGGGGAGGGAAGGGAAGAAAGAAAATCGGGGCTGGGTGATTATACATGACTTAAACCTTAAACTATAGTTAAAATAATCCAAGGTTTTCCCCTACACTTAATCACAGACTTTATGGTTTTTTTTTTAATAGAAAATTCCAGCATTTCATACACAGTACACTAAATTTGACCATATTCCCTCAGGATCCAAAGTCTTTAATTGCTTTTAAAAAACCAGCAGAGATAGAAATGATGGTCCAAACGGCTTGGGTAAATGCCGATGTTTACAGTTATTGTTACTGTTGTTTGAACAAGATTCAGAAGCCCACTAAGAATAGGCCAGCATCGTAATCTAAACTGCAGCTGGGGTTCAGAGGCAGGAAGATCTGCAGTTCAAGGTCACCCTAACTGGCACGTAAATCCCAACCTTGGAGGAGCTGAGGCTGGAGGATTACAGCTGGTTTGAGGCCAGCGTGGATTATAGTGTGTGATCATGTCACAAAAAAGCAAAAGAGAACGAACTAAAGAGAAATAATATACAAAACAGAATTTATAGTTCACCATAGAGCTAGCTTTGTTTACGGACAGCACTCCCTACCACCCCTCCACACCCACTCCCCTCCCCCGAGCCTGTGCTATTTTATCTGTAGAAATGAGCTATCCTTTCCAATACAGGGTTCCGAAACTATAAGGAGAAAGAATTGAGTTTTAAAACTAGCTCTTTCTTTGCGTGGGCTTATATTTCTGCATTGCTCTTCTTTGGGGAGGGGTGATATCAAGTAAAACATGACTGAGATACCAAATTTTTAAAAACAGAGAAGAGTTATATAATATAAAAGGAAACCATTTTGTAATGTTGCTTTCATCCCAGACAACTGTGCAATGTCAGCCCGTCTGCAGTTCATTTTACGTAGTTCCCTAAATTCTGTAAATAGCCCCTTCTGCAGTTGGGCTTCTAACTGTGGGAACAGTAGCTCCTCACACCACTGCTATTCAGCTAGAGTCTGTGGTTGTTGCTCAATTGGCCATTGGGACAAAAATGCCTTGCTTTCACCCCTAGGAAATGGATTACAGTGGCATTCTTTCTATTTAGAAAGCCTCCATTATCGGCCAGGATGGTCTATATAAAGCATGTCTCTGAGCTGCAGACCACTGAATATTTGCTGGAAGAAATTTCAGAGGTTAAGAGATATTTGTTTGGGCACCAAGCTGAAAATTTGGATTTTGACAGATGATTTCCCTTTTAGTTTTCATAGCAGAGTCTTGGTTTTCGGCAGACTATTTCCAGTGGACTCTATGGAGTCCATTCATTCCGCAGGGCTGACAAGGAGCGGGTGTGGGAGGGAGGGCGTTGGGAAGAGAGCAGCTGCAGGTTATGCGGTAACAATGGTGGCCAGGAGTTCTTCCAGCCTGCCATCCACAGCTCTGCTTTTCTTGTTTGAATGTATTGTGAAAGTCTTTCTTAGGGAAAACCAAATCAATAAAACCCACACACAAGCTTGTTTACTTCTTGCATATGTCATAGGAGAAATACCCCCCACCCTCTCTGTCATTTTAGGAAATAAAATTATATTTTAGTAAAGAAGCAAGCAGGAATAAAGATGACTTGACTACTTCTAATCTGAAAATACATTTAGCAAGGATAAGAACTAATGATGGCAGCTCTGTCTTAGAGAAGCCCACACCCTGCTGTCTCTTAGAGAAGCCCACACCCATCCACGCTCTTGGGTATTTTCCAATCACTTCTGCTTTTCTCTTAACTCATACTTAAAATCTGTTTTAAAGTCCTTTAATAAACCCCAGCTCTGCTTCATTAAAAAATACCATAAAGGAGATAGGGATAGATAAATAGCTTGTTGAAAATATTGTCACAAAATTATTGCATTTATTGCACATATTTATTTGTGTGTGTGTGTGAGAGAGAGAGACTGTGTTTGGAGGCCAGAGGACAATTATGAAAGCAGATTCTCCTGTCATCATGGGAGAACCAGGAATAAAACTCAAACCCTAAGCCTTGGTGGCAAGAGCATTTACCAGGTAAGCCTCCTCTCCTTCACCGAAATTTTAATAATGAAAAAATCATACACTACAGGGCCCCACTGCAGTGTAACACAAATCTTTTTTTTTTTTGAAGTACAGTGATACATTTCTATTTCTTTACAATACAAAAGACTGAGAAATGTCTTCTTTCCCCAGTGCTCAGTTCGTTATGCATTTTACAGAGGATTAAAAGAAGATTTGTAGGATCCATTCTTTGTCCCTGTCTACCTCATTGCCATTCGGTTCCTTATGCAAATGAGAGGCTTTTTTCCTCTCTCCCTTTAAGCATAATCATCAGATCTGGGCCAGAAACAGACTATTTAAACACTACAATCTTAAATATATAAATGGAGATCAGTGTGGGTGGGTTAATGTGCACAAATCTTCCTTCCTTCCTTCCTTCCTTCCTTCCTTCCTTCTTTTCTTTTCTTTTCTTTTTTTTTATTCCAGACAGGGTTTCTCTGTGTAACAGTCCTGGCTGTCCTGGAACTCACTCTGTAGACCAGGCTGGCCTCAAACTCACAGAGCTCCACCTGCCTCTGCCTCTGGAGTGCTGGGATTAAAGGTGTGCGCCACCACTGTCCAGCTTCCACTAAGATCATTTTAGACATAAGATGTGTTTCTGGTATGGAATTGAAACAGGTGAATTAAGGATTTGGGCTCATCATTTTATATATGACAGGCAGTCATTGGTCTACTTTAAACAGTAGAATGACACGATTTGTATTATGCAGCATAATCTGTTATATATGTACACTCAAAGCAGTATTGCCATTGTGTAGAGATTCAGTTGAATGGCAATAGGAGAGGAGGAAGACATGAACACACACACAGACATAGACACACACAAACACACACACACACACACACATACACACACACACACACACACACACACACACACACACACACACCGGTAGTTTGAATAAGAATAGCCTTTATAAGCATACACACCTACAGAGGTCAGAGGATAGCCTGTGGTATGTGTGGGTCCTCACCTTTAGGATAGGATCTCTGTCTTGTTTGCTATTAGCCTTCCCAGGTTTACTTGGCTTCTAGGGATCCAGACCAGGGTCCTAACACTTGCTTGGCAAGCATCTTACCCACTGAGCCAACTCCCCAAGTCAATTTATTTATTTTGTTAGACAAAGTTTCATGGATTCCAGTCTGGCCTTGAGCTTGCAGTGTAGCCAAGAATAACCTTGAATTTGTGATTCTCCTGCTTCCATGCTTCAAGTGCCGAGACAGTAGACCTGTTTAACACCAGGCCTGTTTTTATGTGGTGCTGGGGACTGATCCCAGGACTTTGTGAATGCTAGATACGTACTCTACCAAGAGACCTACATTCCTAGCTGCACACACTGATTTTAAATTACAATAAATTGTAAATAAGCCATCTAGAAGTTGGTGTAGGAAGCTGTAGGTACAGTGGCGGCCTCAGGATTGAAGGAGTCATGGAAAAAACCTGAGGCTTGGCATTGTGAGAAACCAGAAGAGGCACTGGTAAAGATGCAGCTTCAGTTGCAGTGGAGACTCCAGGATATTGGAACTGCCAGGATCATGGGGCAGTCACCAAGGACAGTGACGGTTGTGGAAAGAATTCAGCCTGAGCCTGTTAGATAAATTGTGCTATGGATGGCAGAGTCCTAACAGAGAGACTGCCCAAGACCCTTAGAGCCCAGTTCATAAGTGAGCCCCAGATACAAACACTGAGATTTTTAAACAAGTTGAGTTTTGGCCTTACATTGATTTAATTATAATTTGCTCTTGTTTCTCCTATTAGAATAAGAAAGTATGTTTTTTTTGAGACTGGGTCTCACTGTGTAGCACTAACTACCTTGGAATTCACTGTAGACCCTGGCTGGCCTTGAATTTACAAAGTTCTACCTGCCTCTGCTTCACAAATGTTGGGATTAAAGGCATGAGCCATGAGGCCCAACTTTTTGTTATTGTTGAGACAAACTTCTTTTTGATTTTATAGAAGCCCATAGTTGAAAGACATTAGAATTTTAAAGAGATGTTGGGTTTTTTGTTTTCTCTTCTTTTTGAGATCTTAGACTTTTAAAGTGTTGAAAGGTTATGGTTTGAAGTGACATGTTTATGTGTCAGGGTTGACTGGGGTGGGAGTGGGGGTGGAATGTCATAGTTACCTTCAGCTGTCAGCTTATACAGACTTAGAGTCACCTGGGAGGAGGAAATGTCAACGGAAAGATTGCTTTGATCAGATTGGCCGGTGGCTGTATCTGTCAGACATTTTCTTAATTGCTAATCAGCGTCCGATGACCCAGCCCACTGTGGGCAGTAACATTACTTATGCTGTATAAGAAAGGTAATTGAGTGAGCCAGAGGTAGCAAGTCAGTAAGCAGCATTTGTTCATTTCTGTGTGAATCCATATGTGTGCATTGGTCATGTTGATTTAAAGGGCCTTGTTCTCCTGGTGTCTGTCCACCATCCCCTCTTTTTATTTTTTCGGAGGTTTTCCAGACAGGGTTTCTCTGTGGCTTTGGAGGCTGTCCTGGAGCTGGCTCTTGTAGACCAGGCTGGTCTCGAATTCACAGAGATCCTCTGCCTCTGCCTCTGCCTCCCAAGTGCTGGGATTAAAGGCGTGCGCCACCAACGCCCGGCTGTCCCTCTGGTTCTTACATTCTCTCTGCTTCTTCTTCCATGGGGTTCCCTGAGCCCTTAGGGAGAGATTTCATGGAGACATCCTGTCTAGGGCTGAGTGTTCCTAAGTCTCTCACTCTCTGCAAAATGTCTGGGTGTCTTTGGTCCCATCAGCTACAGGAGGAAGCTTCTCTGATGATGGGTGAGCAAGATACTGATCTGTGAGTTATAGCAAAATATCATTAGGAGTCTTTTGTT